AACTGAAATTCATCTGAAACAAAAAATTTGCAGAGATTCATCAAACTTGTTAAAAAGATATTCCAGGCGTGAAAAAAGTAATTTCAATAGTTAAATAAATTGATTCTTCAATCAAAATATGTGTTAAACACCATGTGTTTTTTATAAAGTTTTATTTCCATAAGTATACAAGAAAAAATGTTCTGTTAAATTTTCTGTGTTGTTTTCTGAAATTCAAAATTTAATTTGTTTAATTCAAAAATGAGTGTAGATCATCAAAATTTTGCTGTATTGATAACAATAAATATATATACGTGAAGGTAATTTAAAATATAGTATTTCACACACATGAATATATACATATATATTGGTTATTTATTTTTAAAAATGTATATAGGCTTGCCTGCACACAGTAGTCTAAAATTTTTTATGCAGTTTCTATCCTAAGATAATGCCAGTCAATTGCTACTACATCAGTGCTCCATGGAGTTTAAATTGTCAACTAGAATTTCTCATAGCAATTAATTAACATGCAGATGCACACTGGCCTTTTTGCCACCCAGAAGAAACTTCGATTTCTAAATTCTACTGCCTGGCTCCTTACTAAATTTAAAAAATTTTGCATTCCGTAAATCCTGCTTTCCAGTGCTGCTGGCATCAGCTTTGCCGTGAACCTGGATGTAACACTTCTGAGATTAAATTAACCAATGTAAAGATGAATATCTGGTAATTGTGATTGCAGTTTGATCAATCAGATTAGTATAGTGACATTAGTTATCTTCACTACAATTTGTTGGATCTACTGTGCTAGTTTAACACAAAATAATTTCATGGTACTCAAGAACAAAGATTGTGAAAAATCATGAAATATGTGTTTCTTATTATATAGGATTGGTGATAGAATTTCCTTTGTCTGTGGAAGGTGTATAGTTTAATAGAAAAAGATAAGCACCATATTTCTGTGCTGAAAAATTTAAATTAACCAACCATTGATATGAAACATTTGTCTGTAGTCAATATTAATCAGGTTGTTAATTCGGTGTCTTTTTAATTTGTTGCCCAAACTGTTGCAACAGTGTATGTGTGCTTTGAAATACATCCAGCTGTTTATATATTCTGTTTGGACATGAAAATTTTTGTTTCAAATATGACTCAAGTTCACTGTGTCATGACTATGTGCACCGCACTTGTTTAGTTTATCTCTTCAAGACAATGGTACGACTGTCCATGAGCATCATACACATTTTGAGGCTATTTAATAAACAATCTGCACTGTAACTTAGAATTTTCAAGTGTTTTGGTGCTTTTTTATGTACATTTTTTTGTAAATTCATTAACAGTGACTTTTGCGAAAGTTAATGAAAGGAGTAAAGACACAACAAAATTGTTAGGGTCACGATGGAGATGAAAAAAAGAGATTGTTGAAGATGTGTAATGTACAATGCCAAGTACGATGGTGTCTACGATTGTGAAAAACAAAGTTGCTATTAAATCGGCTAATGTGGCATAGAGAGGGTAAAATCATTTACCAAACATAGATCAGAAATATTTGATTATGCTAAAAATTGCTTTTGATATGGATAGCTGAAAAACATTATGTAAAGTTAATATTTCACCTAGTATTATTTTATTATTTGAGTATTAAACAGTGTTATACTAATAACAATAGGATTATTTATTGGAACAGATTTATTATTTTCCCTTTATTTCTCGTAAAAATTTGTTTGCCTTATTACGTTCAAGGATCTGGAACAAATTAATGATGTATACCGAGGGTGGCATTGTATTTGTAAATTCAACTATCATATTTGGTAACTCATACTGGACTGATAGATAAATCCTGTTTTACAAAGTTATGTGCATTTCTAATTTTATAAAATAAAAGAGAGAAACAATTATCTTAAAAGACTGTTTGGGGAAAGAGAAGTATGGCCCACTGCTTGGCACATTTTTCAAATTCACCAACTTGACATGCTCTCGCATCTTGTCTCCTAGATTTGCAACCCCTCCAGAAGACACTATGAAAGGTGTAACATTTACAGTGGCGAACAAGTAAAATAAAAGTTGAAGCAAAATTTAAAAAACTGAAAACCTATAAAAAAAGCATAATAATTTTAAAAACCAAACATGGTTAATAAAACATAGTAAGCTTTAAAAACCTGAAATTGGTACAAAACCCTGAAAAATTAAAATTCATGCACCTATATATATTTTTTTTTTTTTTTAACTGAAAATACTTTCTAATAATGTTAAAAACTAAAAATCATTTCAAAAAGTTTCAAATTTTACTCAACCCTCTAATTGCCCGAAACTCGAGTTTGTCTATTCAAAATAAAGTTCTTGTATTTCAATCCATTTTGCGTCCCATCATCACTTGTGCCTGTCCGGTCTGGGGTTTCATTTGTGACACAACTATGAAAAGAATTCAACAAGTGCAAAATATGACTTTGAGGCAGATGGCAAATTGTCCCTGGTTCATTAGGAACGATGCAATTCATCGTGAACTCAATGTAGAAAAAATCAACGTCTGCTTTGCTGAAATTGCAAGATAATATTTCAGGAATATTCATAAAGTGAATAACAGCTCTATCCCACAGCTGGACTATAATTACGAGGATAGAGACAACAGAAAACGACCGAAAGTAGTCCTTATACATCTAAATACGTAAACTGTAATTGTTTTCTCTATCCCCTTGGTAATTTACCTTAAAATCACATTTGATCATCTAATAATGACTTATTCTCAATTAGTTATACTCTGCTTTATATCGCGACATAGGTGTTGCAATGTAGGGTTTAATTTCATAACTACTGCTAGACTCTGAAAAATATGTCGACATCTGGTAGAAAGTTCTGCCACATAAGTTTTGCCATTATGTTATCTATTAAATTAACTCAGTTATTTTGTATCTCATCCAGCATAATATCTATCTTAATTTAATTCAATAGAAGTAACTCTTATTACCTTCCATGATCCCTTTTTACTTCAAAATAGACTCGCACCATTCAATAATATTGTTCATTATGTTATTCCTTTAACCCCTTTCCCCGGCCAATGCCTGTCTTGCAAGTGGATACACTTCCTTTTCAGATTCACCATTGGTAAAGACGACCAATAGCTCTGCCCACTTCACTCAAGTACCTCCAGAGACAACACCTTCAACTCAGACAAGCTCTTGCCATTCTGACGCTAGCATGCAGCAACTGCATTTACACTGCCGGACATCTATAGAACTAGCTCAATGCCTGCTGTATCTGAAGACTCTAAAATTGCACTTTCACAAGATATTTTTTATTTAAATTACGAAGTTCGTCACGTTAGGTTAGAAAAGATATGCCTTTTTCGTACGAGTTCTACACAGGATGTGGTTTTATAACCCGGGTGCCTGGTGACAAGTGTTTCTAACACCTGAGTCTTCTTCAAAAAGTTTCAAAATCATTACAAAACCCTAAAAAATTAAAATACTTTCACTTTAAAAAAATTTTAAGAAATGAAAATCCAATCCTTCCAAAAACATAATTTTAAAAACTAAAAATTGTTACAAAACACTGAAAAATGATGTCTGAAGCATAACCCTTATAAGGTCAGAAAATTCTTCCTCGGGTTTTGGATCTTGTAAAGTGGGGGAGGGGATAAATTCTTGCAATATCGGCAAGAAATGCTTTAAATACATCATTCTAAACGCAGTGGTCGTGAATTTTTCGCCACATAAATTTGTAAAGATGTGAATCAACCCCTTCATTTCTTCAGTCGATTTGTAGAATTTTCAGGAAATCGTTTGATTCCTGCACACACACCCTCAATGGTGTTAGTGTGTGCACCTTTTACCAGCCGCACATATGGCAAACTGTGGTTTACCTCTAAATGCTGAAATCCTTCGTCTTCCAGACATTTATATGCAGCCTAACAGTCGGAAATGATTGTGGTGCCACGCAACACCCATCAATCAAGCAGGCCCTCATTTGATTAGGAACCACTCTAAAAAACATCTGTAAGTATCTCTTCCTCCAACCATCCATCTTCCTTTCATGGACCTGCCTCTTCCATACTTAATCTTTCCAAACTTACTTTCATCAACCTCAACAATCTTCCAATCTTGCAACTATCTCTCACCATAACATGAATACATATTTCCCTACAGAAATTATACCAATTCACTTCCATGTGATTAGAAACATTCAGGTTCTTCAATTGCATATTTCTGAGGGCACCTTCCAAACCACTTTTGCATCACTAATGAAACTGTACACATATCCAAATTACTCAAACCAAACCAAGACCCTTTCCTTGCACTCCTACACACATCATGCCTTTCCTCTGTCACAGTAGACTGATTCCTACAAAACCATCATTTATTGCTTTTACTCTTTCTTTCTCTCAATTCCATACTTTTCCCACATTTTGGAAATGCATACGGTGATGCAATCAACCCCTCTTTCATACACCATTCTAACACAGCTTTCTTTCCTAATGCAGGCAACATGGCAAAAAATCTTTCAGAATATTCAGCATACTTCAACATGCATTCATTCACGTTTTTAACTATGCATCACTAATGAAACTGGAGGCCATTGTGAATATCTGTAAAAATTTATGTGAAGAAAAATTAATTTACCTGAAAAGAGGAATCCACTCTGCGAGGCCCAGCTGAAGAACAAAAAGTAATGAATTCTCAAAGAATTGTTTGAAATAACTTCACCTCTACCATCTGTTATCGTCTACACCAATCAGAAATTCTTAATTTAAAATACATACTGAGCATGCGCGAAAATGCTCCGAAATTCGTGCTCCTCCAGAATGGCAAAATTGACTTGGATACCACAATTGGCACACTTATTAATCTCGTAAAAAGCGCCAAATAAATGGGTGGTTCTGCATCTGACCCAGCTGTTTTTGTTACAGCCTTTAAAGTGGAATTTTAATATATGTATGATGCATAATTTTAAATAATTAATAAAATGTGCTGAAATCTGTTAAGCTGTTTGAATAAGATAAACATTATTATATTGATACAAAGTTTTAAAAAAAATGTAATATGTTATACTGTCTATATTTGTATATTTATTTGCAGAGTATATTTGGTGGCCTCAAAAATTATTTCAGTAAAGGGGGTTCCACAGATCCTTCATTCAGGCCCCCTACTGCTGAAATTTCATCTAGAAAGCATTCAAGCACTTTGCAAGATACAGTAGAAAATTTAAAAACTGATACTAAACTAAGTGAAGCATCACATCCAGCTTTAAGAGTTCGGGATTTGTCATTTGATGAATCAGATTCATTTCAATCAAACCTATCGAAGCCAAAGACCCTTTCACCTTCAGCTTCTTCAGGATTTTCCAGTAACATTGAAGAAAAACTTGATAAAAACCTTGGTAAATATATCTTAAAATATTTTTTTGAATATATCCCAATCTTTTTTCAACCAATCTATAAAACTGAAAAGGCAAGAAATATCTATAATAAAATACTTCTCTTTTTTTAGGAATCAGTTTTTTTGTACTGTTGTTTTTCCCATGCTCACAGCAATGTATTTTCACTTAAAAAACATCATAGAATCACACTGTGTCATGCAATGTAGGTATTGGTCACTGGTCAAAACAGATGTGCTATGTGCTTAACTTGGTTGCCAGATCTGTGCTTTTTAGTGACATGGATTGCCATATAAACTATTTTGCTGTGCCTCGTGAATCTTCTTCGCGACTTTATTATCGGAGTTTGCGGATAATTAGATAGTACCAATATTTTCAATTTTTAAAGTTCTGTTGCTATTGTTTAATATTAAAGAAGTCCAAAATATTTACTTTTATTAATTTCTTATTTAAAAATATAATAATTTTTGGTACTATTGCATTACCTACCCAACTTTGACAAGAATCACAGGCAAATTCCTATGTCACCAAAGTAGGCAATACAGAAGATAACTAAAATGTGTTTTATCTGGCAACCCATTAATGGTTGCATGCAGATTATGCCAGTGCATAATGTGTACAATTTTGGAATTCGAGGGCTATATTTTTATATTTTTGCTTGTGATTAGTATGTGAAGTTTTTTCCTTGTAATGAATCGCAATGAATCTGGAATCTGCTTGCTAATGCAAAAGTCAGTGTTGCAGGCATTTTGCCTAGTAGTAGAGAGTGTAGGAATTCACATCCCACGAAGTTTTATTTTACAGACAATTACATTGTATGGAAATGTACTGTCAAAGTTCTAATGTTAGTACAAAACCGGTTTGAGGATAGCCAAATATCATTTATGACAGCTGTTTGCTTTATTTATTGCTAAAGAACGTGGAATATTTGCATTTCAAGGAAAATATTTGCTTGCAGTATCCATGTTTGCTGTGCTGTACTGGTGTACAATTGTTGTAGTGTGAGTATTAAGATTTAAACTTTTTGTTGAGAGACACACTTTGCACTTGTTCTTCACTGTTCCTGCTTGTGCATGGTCGACATTTGGTGTTGGCTTATGAACAAATATTTAGTTTTGTGTTTTACCTTTTAATTTTAAATAAAGTTAATTTTATGGTTTACTACAGTCTTCAGCTTTTCTTTTGATGAACCTTCTGACAAGTTAGGAATATTGTGGCGTAAACCATTGGCACAAGAATATACATCTGAGAGTTTTGTGAAGAACCTAACATATCTCCAAATACAACTACTGTGCAGTTAACTGCAAGAAGTGTATGTGTCTAGTGTGGAAAAAGAAGAATGTAGAAAATTTGACAGCACTGGATGGATTGTTGAAATAGAAAAAAAAAAAAAAAAAATTTTTACAAGAAAAAAGAATAATGTAGGTCATGTTTTAGAAAGTGGTTTTTTGAAGGGATTTGTAGAAAAACATTTCTGGTTCAGTTTCCTGATCATACTACAGCACTGTTATTGAAAAAAAAATCGAAAAACATATTACTGAAAGAAGTACCATCTTTTTGGATAGTTGTATGAAGAACTCGAGCGAGCCAGTTATGATGATTGAAAATAAATCATAAGTATGATTCTGTAGATCCCCTAATTGGCTTACACTTGCAAAATGTGGAGAGGCTAGGGAGATCTATTCAGTTGAGGAATAAAAGGCAGAGGAGGGGGGACAGCCAGATATCACCTTCTGATTTAATTGGGGAATTCATTTGAAGAAAATGCGAGTAAAAAAAGTATAAAGAGTATTTTGAATAGATTTTAAAGTAAATAGCTGATCAATAGTCACTGACTGTATACATGTAAATATTGTCTGGATTGATTTTCATTATTATTATTATCAAAGTAAAATGTACACAAAATGATGCATTTTGCTACCTTTTATCTATCTCCACTGTCACATTATTATAGAAATCTTACATCTTGAAAGTAGCTTATTTGATAACAGCTTTTTCTAAATAGAAGCTGACTTGTTTTTAAGTTAAAACAAGTCACTGTGTACATGGTAAGCAGAGCCAAGTTTCTCTGCAATTCTCGGATGTTTTTTCCAAGTTAAAACAGATTGCTATGCACACAGGCAGAAGACCAGGAAAAAATACATAGTTGTTTTATTATGGATGTTTCTTGCATGTTTAATTTAATTTGTTGCTATTTTATATAAATTTTGGTGTTTCATTATCGATGTTTAATCTAAGTTTTGGTATTTCAGTATGGATGTTATTTTATGTAATTTTCAGTGTGCTACTGTTTTTCACATGTTAGGTTGGCAAAAAATCAGTCGGCAACGATTGGCGACTTTGTGGATGGGTCAGGTGGATATTGTGACAGTACTTAATTTTTTTTTTTCCTATATGGATGTTAGGAGTAATCATGTATGTGTAGAAATGTATTAGTAATAATTAATAAAATTGCTTTTTGATGTTCATAATGCTACCTTCATTAATGTCTTTCATGTATAAGTATCTTCATGTGTATGCATACTTATATGAATAGTTCAGTATATGTATACATAAGATACAATCCTAGCTTTAATTTGTATTAACACATGAAGTCTGTAATAAATAGGAAAGGAATCTAATAGTTGGGCTTTTACTATAACAAGATTTAATGATTCTCTGTATTTTAATCCCCCATCCTCTCACAGTTAGTTCAGAGAACTTATATGTGCTATATTTCTTGAATGTGGTAGATATTCATGATTAATTTTTACTTGCAGAAAATAAATAAAAGTGCTTACATGTAAGTGCAACCCACCTTGGCATCATTAAAAAAACATGTGAAGAGTAAACATAGGTCTAGTACTGTGTGATCACACAAGCAAGAGCAGTTTGGCTGAGGTTCAAGATGGGTCAGTTTAATTGAAGGGGTGTGGGTGAAAAGCGCAGCACAGGTCAAGGAGTGTTGTTAAGTGTTTTTCTTATAATCATTGAGTATCGCTATTACTGACCTCCTTTTACTTTAAAATCTTCATTTTTACTATAATTTCCAGTGTTCCAGGAAGCTCTAGAAATAAGCCTTCCTGCAACAATTTTAAGTAATTAGTGTATAATGTGATTAAAGTTTGTGTGATGAATCACAATTAGGAAGACTGACCATCACAGTTACGCAGCCAACACATAGAGTGAGTAAGATGACTGGCGTTTCTATTGCCAGCATAAACAGAATTCATAAAGAATCTGAAAGTAAAGAAAATGTTGAATTCTCTTTTCCCTAAAAAAAAAAAAAAAAAAAAAAAGAGAGAGAAAAGAAAAAGAGAAACTGTTGTAAGTACAGGCTTAGATAATTTTGATTTGGATACTTTAAGACAAGCAATTCAAAACTTTTAGGTTCAAGGAAAAGGAAGTAGCAACTATAGCCAAACTGCTTTCTGTATTAAAAGTTTAATTTATAATCTAACTCTACAACTGGAGATTATCATGGGCAAATGAAAAGTTAATTTCGAACCTACCACCAAATTCTGTTATAATTATTGATAATGCACCTTATCATTCAGTGCAGCTCAGTAAAGCCCCCATCCCAAAGTAAGTTACAGATTTTTTTCAAACTACTTCAAAAAAACAAATTCTATAGAGATTATAGGATTGGGCAACTGTGAATTGATGAATGGTCACTTATTCTTCTGAGACTCATCTATGCTAAAAGGCTGCTCAGAAAACCACAAAACAAAATTGCTCTATTACCAGAGCACCAAAATAACAAAGCAGCAAAAGACCATAACACAAAGAGTAAAGTTTGTTTAGCAAATGATGGTTCAAAGATTAGCCCATTCATTTTCTGACAGCTGTTTGGTTTGTTGGCAGAATTCTATTAATTGCAAACTGCAGATGAATCATAGTGCCGCTGCCAATTAGAATATCTATATGCATTCTTATTTATAAAATTTTTATTATTTTCTTTTTGTTTCTGCCATGGATTTAATAAAATAGGTATTCTTTTAATGAAATTGTGTACAGTTTACCATTTTTCTGTCTAGTTTGATTCTGGGCAAACATTTATGTTTGTTGTTAGGTGGCATTCTGTTAACTGAAAAAGTACCTTCCTCTCTTAATAATTTGTTTAGATTATGAGTATATGTACTGCATTATATAATGTGTATTCATAATTTATATCTGGCATACCTACATGAGCAAGTTTAAGCAATAATTGTTTCCAAAATGATAAGAACTAGACAATTATGAGTGTATGGAATTTTCTTATAAGTTATTTTAAGTAAACACAGAAATGCACTCTATATATTTATGTATTTGACAATTTTTAATGTGAGATGAAAATCAATGTGTACGATGCAGATATCAGAATTTTTCTCTCACCAACAAGGAAATTATGAAAACAAGTTTGAAGTTTATTGTGATACAAGAAAAGTGTTAAGAATTTTTTAAAACATATGTATTACCTTCTAAAAATATTCTGTGGTGCTATATTTTAAGAGCTGCATTTTTTTTTTTTAAATATATTATTAAGGACTTCATCTGGTGAGAAAAAATATAAAACAGCACACAAAGTTTATGTGATGTCTGAGATCAGATATTCTTTCTGAACAACATAATATTTAATAATCTTAGGAATATTCATAGTAAATACCTTGCAGCATATAGTTTTCTAAGCTGTATGTATGACATTGAAATTTTTACTAAATCTTTTCATTCACTTAATCAGAATTCTACTTTAAAAAAAAAAAATTCTTATATTCCTTTTCTTAAAAGTGTATTTACTATCATGAATATATACTTTAAATTCAAATTATATTTTTGTAATATTATTATTTTAGAATTCATGTCTTTGGGGCTTGGAAGACTAAAGAATTTAGCTATTGGCTTAAATGAAGAGATAGAACAACAGAATGAAATGATAGATGTAATTCATAACAAAGCTGACAAAGCAGACGAGACCTTGGAGTATCAAAATCGGCAGATCAAACGTATATTAAAAAAATGATGACTGATAGTGAGATGTCTGTATTTTGTTTATAGAAGTATTTATTCAAATAAATTCCACTGTCACTATAGTTTATTGTATGTTTTAGTTTTTTAAAGAATTATTGCCTTGAAAATTCAGAATCAAGTCCGCTGTAACTAAAGTTTATTGTATGTTTTAGTTTTTTAAAGAATTATTACTTTGAAAATTCCAAGTCAAGGTATAATCATATTTTAATTGTTAAAGAAACACTTAATATTTTAAAAAGAATACTAAAATGAGAAAAATAAAAATTATTTCAGAGAACATACACATTTATATGTAATTTTATAAAATGTTGATTTTTTCACACCAGACTTTTCAGAAATAAAATACCTAAACTATTTATAGTTTTGCCATAAATCTATTGCCTTATAGCTGGATAAAATATATTTATGCTTTTACCAAAGTGATACCAGTTACTGTAGATTAAGTTTATAGTTGCCTGATGAAAGTACCTATAGATATATTAAAAGCAGTAACATATTTAATTGAAATAAAATTTTCTGAAGTGTGATTTTTTTAAAAATTTGATTTATATAATATGGAAAAATGATGTTACATTTATTTATTTTATTTCCATATACTTATTTCTTTAAAGGGAATATTTTTAATTTGCAAATTTTTCCTCAATTGCTACAAAAATTGGTATCGCATTGGACAGTTAGTTTATATATTCGATGTCTGAATATCTCTTGGCCAAGAAAAATGCTGATTTTAGATGAAATTTAAGACACAAAAAAATTCTTCAATAGAATGTTGTGACATTGTCACCATTTTTGTATGTTTTTTTATTCCAAGTTCCAAATGTTTTTATTGACAGTTGTGATATTTTAATCTTGAACTTAGTTTTTAAATATGCACTTTTGGTATTTGTCTGCAATAGAAGAAACCGTAACAAAATTTTTGCAGAAATACCATTATTTTGCCACAAAATCACTAGAGAATATCTTTCAGATTTGTTCTAAAAATGACTGCTATAAAATTTACACCATAACAAACCAAACAAAAACTCTTCAAGCAGGTTTATTGATTGAATTCTGAGTTAAATGTATAATTGAAATGTAAAATATGTATATAATAAGTATTTTTTGTAATTATAAATAATTTTTTCCTTAAAACATTACCAAACCATGCAAAGTTTGTTGCTCTAATTCATAAGTACCAAATCTTGTTTAAATTATCCATACTTTAATTTCCAACCTTAAATGTTTACATATCACACTTGCAATAATATTTGATTTGGAAGTAATGTTTAATTTATAGACTGAGAAGACCTGTGTGAAATGATAAATGTGAACAACTATCATGCAATATTTTATTTTGATATTAATCAGTATTTGTGGATATCTTGAATTTATTTTCTGTTCTATATACATTTTCTATGAATAATGTTAAGTTTTACATTGTATATATATGTATCATTATATATTTATATTAGTGTATCAGTTATTAATATTAAAGAGTATGATGAATTTATCAGTTATTTGGTCATTTCATTTAATGAAAAATATATAGCACGTGTCTAGTGTTATACGAGAAACATGTAATTTTGCACATATTGATGGGCTGGAACAAAATTGCATTAAGCTAGTTCAGTGGGCATTATTTTGCCCACCAGATTATCTCACTTTGTGCCACTAATGCCATATTTACATTTCTAAGATAATAATATTATTTTATCTATTGTCTTTTATGCACATTGATTCCTTTTTCAAAATATTACACAATTTTTCCATTTCATAGCTCATTATTTGTAATATTTGAAACTTATTCAAGTTATGATTGTGAATATTTGCATAATTACGCTAAGGAAAGGAGAACTTGCACATCTCTTACTTTAAATCACAAACTAGAAAATACTAATCTTAAAAATATGTTGAATGCTGAGCGGGCTTAAAATTACATCTCGTATACTAAACAGTCAATCAAGGTATGAATACAAAAGAAAAGTTCTTGATGGAAATTAAAAGTAGTGCTAGCAGCGGATTAAAAAAGTTGCAATCAAAAGTCTATAGCTTATAGCTCAAAGATTCACTAATGGAATACAACTTCAAGATGACTGGGCACAGTGTGCATGTAAGTAAATACACCAATCGTTAATCTTGTGTATCACATTCACCTGTTCGAATGTTCTGCTATCAGTTAATTAGCACTTCTTTTATTTTAACCAGTTTTGATATTTATAATGTTTAAGATAGTCTATTTTCCTTGTATTTGATGTGATGTAATTTTTCAAGATGGTCTATTTTCCTTGTATTGATGTAATTTTTCATTTCCATTTTTCTTTCAGGTATAGTTCATTGGCCATTGTTTGTCTATTCTGGGATGAATATCTTTATGTAAAGTTTAGTATTTATGGAAAAAAAAAAAATTAATATACAGGGTTCAGTATGGTCCTTAATTTAAGACAGCATTAGTATGAAAGGTATTTAATTTTATTTATCTGACATTTTACTGTTTTTTACAACTGCCATTTTGAATTAATTTGCTTAAAAATTAACTTTTTTAGGAATAACCTACCTTGGCCAAAACAAACATTTCAAAATTATTTCTACTTTTCCTTTTTTGGGGGATATGCACTTTTGTTAAGTAGTGCTAAATTCTGCTATTTTAAGATAAATTTTTATTCAACATTTTTTATTTGGAGATATGCACATTTTTCAATGTTTTTAACAAACTTTAATAAATAAATTACATATATTAAAATTATATTCAATAAATAACATTAAAATAATATATTTTTATTCTCCCATCATGTTTTAAGGTTGCTAAATTCTGCTATTTTAAGATAAATTTTTATTCAACATTTTTTTTGGAGAATGCACATTTTTCAATGTTTTTAACAAAACTTTAATAAATAAATTACATATACTAAAATTATATTCAATAAATAACATTAAAATAATATATTTTTATTTTCCCATCATGTTTTAAGGTGAAATTAGTTTCCATTTTGTTGACTTCGAAATATTTTGATTCTGAAAAATTCAGGGTTCGTGCACATTTCTGCACACGGAAATTAAGTACTTTTAAGGACCATTAATGAAAAAAAATTAAGAACCTATGAGCAAATCGGAAATGAATAAATTGAATTAAAAATATAATCTATGCCTAAATTTCATTTTTGTAATACCATCTTAAAAATTAAATAGATCCCTAAGTAGTATGCATTATTATTAAACATGAATTAAAATAATGATTAATAAGTTTGAGAATAAAATAAACTTTATGCAGTTTATCAAGCAACATTTAATATTTTACACTTATAATAGTTGGACATATTTAAAAGAAAGTAAGTGACATTTACGTTATACTAACAGTTAGCTTTATATTGATTTTTTTATGTCTCATTTTGTCACATAGTTGGTCAATCTAGAGGTTTAGTAAGTAGCAGGTAGATTTTTATGTCAAACGGCATAGGTTAAAATGAGAAGAAAGATCATAATCAGCATGATTCATAACAAAAGACAATGTTGTCACTACTGCTGCTTACCCAGAGAGAGACCTGCTAATTAGAACTAACCTGAAATGCCTGGTGTAGGCACGGTTGGCAAGTATTGAAAGTTAGTCAGGCTTTGTTTAATGCAGTTAGTGTCGTAGCTTCGTGTAGAGTTTCAGGGGTTGTAACCCAGTTAATATACTTTAAGGTTCCAATAAGCCATTAAAGCACCGGGGGTGATAAATTGTTTTGTATTATTTTAAGTCTCACTGGATACAAAGAATAAGTTTTACTTGAATTTTTAAATTTTTGTGTTTTATCTTCTGACCACAGTGAGTATTAATGAAAGGCAATAACTCACTTTAATATATAGAGATAATTTTTAAGGGCAAGTAGTTAGTTATAAATAATTAAATTAGGCAGTTAGATAACCTTAGTCATTACAAATTTACATGGCCACTATTAAATTTTATTTTTTAACAATATTGTTAAAAAAGGCCCTATTAAAATAGCAATCTAATAAAATTTCACAGTTTAAATACATGTAATTTATGACATTGATTCTTAAACGATATTCGGATAATTGCGCATTCAAAGATGCAAAGCATTTATGTTTTGTAACAACACTCAACAAAATATTTATCCATCAATTTAAAGCCTTCCCAAACATTTTGGCTAATTTATATCCAGGGCTGTGGAGTCGGAGTTGGGCAGATTTTGGGGTAAAGGAGACTGAGCTGGAGTCACTAAAAATAGGTCGACTCAGACTCCAATTTTTGTTGGACAGTTTGAATTTGAAATGACAAGTTGAGTTATTATTTTTATTTAAGAATATATACATTAATAAATAGTTATCTATTTTATTAGCATATTGATAAATAAATATAAGGGAGGTGAATGGATGTGATATTTTCCATTAGTGATTAAACCGATTCATTTAGTTACAAATTTCACTGGTAAATTTAGGTAAGCAGCAAGAACTCCCAAAATTGATGCCATTCTTAGGAAGTGAGCAGGAAAAAGAGCAATTATTGATCAAGCAATGCAATAAGGAAGTGCATATTTATGATAAAGAGGTTGTTAGAATTAAGAACTTTTTTAGAAGATGTAGATAACCCTAATGTTTCACTAACAGAAAGACTGGAATGATCTTGCAGAATTGGAAACTCTTCTTTCTATACTTTCTTCTTCCACAAAACAGCTGCAATCTGAAGAACTGACAGGATGTGAGACTGGAATGCTTGTTCTTTCTGAAATGGAGGGTTTATTGCAAAAGGAATCATTTCTTCTATGAAGAAAAGAGAAACTAGTTTTCTAGACATTGAGATCTTGCTGGGTTTAATATATGTAGATCTGAAAAACTGAATTTTCTTGAATGACGAACAAATTAAAAAGGCAAAGCCATTTATGAACTTCCATTAAGAATGAAATTATTTTCAGAACAATTCGAGAATTCAAATCAGGACAGTCAAACTGCAGACATTTTAATCGAGTTTCTATCATTCACTTCCAGTGATGAATTAGATTTTGAGAAATATTTTTGTATAATATTGAAAAGGCTAAGGCAAATCAAATGAAAATAAGGAACCAAGAGCCTTTAGCTATAAAAATGAAAAAATACAAACATGATTTCTACACGGCCTTTGAAGACACCTCTTTTAGAACTTATAAAAGTCTATCCTAAAAAGAAGTAGCCCCAACAATAACAGCTTTTCGTCCTACTCAAGTTAGTGTGGAAAGACTCTTCTCAGTTCTTAAGTTTGTTGGAGAGCCATAGATCCAATTTGATAAAGATCTTGCCAAAGCTATACTGTTTCTTAGAAATAACTAATGTAAGTTTTTCCCATTTCATAATAAATGCTAATTGATATAAATAATTTACTATGCCATCAATTTTTTTCTGTAGCATCTATTACTTCTTTTATATTAAAAAATAAGCTGTAACTCATGTGTCTGTTTACATATATATGAGGGAGTCAGAGTCTGTCATTTTCCCTACCGACTCCACCACTTTGTTTATATCGATTTCCTTCTCTTTAAGCATCTTTTCTAACAATTACAGATTTATCTCAATATGAAAACCAATGCTCTCACTAGTTTCTGCATGCTTTATCTCTTAACTTGTCAACCTCTCCATAATGTACCTATGAGGGTTTACTTGATCTTGTAAAAGTTAAATAATCCAAAACCCCCAACAGATGTGAAGCAAATTATCACTTGTCAACCTCTCCATAATGTACCTATGAGGGTTTACTTGATCTTGTAAAAGTTAAATAATCCCAAACCCCCAACAAACGTGAAGCAAATTATCACTATGTCTGAAAGTAACTACAATATCAGACAAAGGTTTAAATAAGCCTCTTATTTAAAAAGAACTTGGAACATAAAGGCATGTTCTGATGCTAACATAATCAATTACAGCTCACGGTGACATAATTAAACAAAAATAGTCAAATTAAAACTAAAAATGTAAACTAGTGGTCAAAGATTATACAATTTAATTTTAATTTAATCTGGCTCAGTAACTCTATCATATGAGGAAAGAGAAACGGGAAATTATAGTAAAGGCTGAAATCATAAACAATTGGGTAACTTACATAATAATAACTGCACATATCTTTGAAGAATAATTTTCTTTATGTATTCAGTTTCTTTCTTCAACATGTTTACTTTTTCATTTAAAAATTTTTGGATTTAATTAAGGATGTCTGTCATTCTAAAAAACAATAAATGCATTTAGAATGTATAGGAAAAGCTTTTAATTTTATTTCTTTAGTACTATGAACATTCAGAAGAAATATAAAATATATATGGTAAGTTACAGAGCTGGTGTGGCAGAACTTGTAGCATTTAGTGACACAGCGAAGAACAAAATCTAGAAATGGCAAGACTTTTAGAATTTAGAGCAGGCATTGGAAGCAGAATTTAGAAAGGCAGTAGGCAGCAAAATTTAAGATCCACAGAGATTGCATCAGGTGGGAAAATGCCTAGTGCCAGCTCTGTGTATGATGCATTACGACATATTAGATGGATCTTTTAAACTTAAGTTTTCAATTTATTTATTAGTAAAAAATCCCTTTCCATAATGCCTGCCCAACTCATAAGATTAGAAGCATTTTTGATATTTTCCATGCTTGTGTCTAGTGAAAAGTAGAGAAAATAAAGGGAAGATAAACATGTTAAGAAAAAGATTATGGTATCAGGAATAAAAACATTAAAATATTATGTCTTCATTGTTCTTCCAGACATTCTCCAAAAAGTAAGAAATTCATCGCAAACTTTCTATAAAATATATCTATTACGTGTTCATACCATAGAGGCATTTTTCATTTTGTCACATATTTCTTGAATCTTCTAGAACCGTGGGTCTATAAATCTTGCCTTCAAATTCTTCTAAACTTTCCAAGCTGCAGTGTCTAAAATCCGAAAAGAAAAATGATTGCTACCAATTCTGTATCAGCAAAAAGCCAAAAATATTTTGGAAGGAGGGAAAAGTGTTAATTTTATAGAGAAAACCGATGCATATTCTGAGACAATTACATGGGGAAAACTCTTACTATGAAAAAATTAAAAAGACATTTTTATTTAATTACATAGCTAATTTTGCTTTTGCTAAGAGATGTTTCGTAAATTGTGCTTTATAGCATTATACCTTGTTTGTTTTTCAGATTCAAAATACTGTATAAGTTGCCAAATGAAACTTTATAATATGACAGAATTTTTTTTTTATTTTAATGTTATTTTTTAAATATAATTTTAATATATTACCATTATTTTAATGAAATTTATCAATATTACGATGTTTTAAAACAAATCATCGAAAAATTTCCAGATCTCGGAATTATAAATTTTCTGTAGAAACTTTTATATAGAACATGCTGATTAGCCACCAAATTTAGAACCGTTTAATAGAAGAATTCACATCCCCAAAAGCAAAAAGTTGTTTAAGAACTCTTTATTAGAAGAAATGAATTTCGAAATGCTTATACTGCGATCTATTGAGACTCGTTCTCTGACTGGAGTATCCTATCATTTATATTAGAAATAGAAACAAATTATACCTCGCCAAAAAATATTCCTCCAAAATGATAATTCACACTCAAAATGGCAGTCGTAAAAACAGACAAATTTCAGATGATTAAAATTAAGGACCTTCTGCTGCTTTGTGCCAAAATTAAGGACCAAAAATCAAAAACCTAAGGACCGTACAAACCCTGAAAATTAAAGTATAAATACCATAATGGCACAATTTAAGTACTTCTTAGCAAAAGCAGAAAAGCTACTGTAATTATTTTTATTATTTGTCATCTTCAATGTTTTTTCTGGATAAGAGCCTTTTCTCGTGTAATTGTTTCAGAATATTCAAATGCATATCAGTTTTCTCTGCCAAGTTAACTTTACTGTTTTCTTTTTGAATCTTTCTTTTTGCTCAAACAGAGTTGGTAGGAATAAATTTTCTTTCAGTTTTAGATCTGGCACCTAGGAAGGATTTGTAGGCAAGATTTATAAATCTACAATTCCATAAAAATGATACATGAAAAATATCTTCATGGCACTAGCACATAATAGATGTGTTTTGTGATGAATTTATTATTATCATCATTATTTATTTATTTATTTATTTATTTTTTTTTTTTGAGAATTGTTGAAATAAAGTGAAAACAAAATTATTTGAATTTTTTGCTTTTGATCCTTGAAATCTTTCTCTTCACATAATTTTCCATTCTTTTCACTAAACGTAAGTATAAAAAATTACAGAATAACTGGTTTATTAGCATAAAATTTTATGTTTTCTGCCATGATGAAAAATAATTTCAGCTCTGGAATTTTTTTTTTTTTTTTTTTGTGTTTATTGCAATAATTATTGCAGTATGTATGCTGTAAGTTCCATCTTGCTTTGTTAAGTAAATTTAGAAGTTAAGGTAAGTCTTTTTAGCTTGATTTTTCAATTACACAGAATAGTTTTTTTTTATTCTAGTAATCATTTATCAAATTTTAAATATGTCTTCATACTGATCATAGGATAATCTACATGTGGAATAAGTTGAAGAGCTATCATGAACTTGATCACACAAATCAGAATAGAAGAAAGGTATAAACTGATATTTGAAGTAACTCCAAGTCAGTAGAAACACTGAATATAGAGACCTGTGTTCACAGATTCTTTTGCTTTGAATATACTAGCTAACATTCCAAGTTTCACTCTGAGTGAAATAGCTAATTATGATTTGAGTTAATTGAAACCTCTATACACACAATAATAGTTTTATGTCAAGATGATAATGACAATACCTTGTGAAACAATCAAGATCAAAATAATTTGTAAATTTTATCATGAAAGAAAAATGAATAAATGTAGGGTATCGGATTGAAAAATAATATACTAATGTTTGTTTTAAATAACAGGTACAAAACTATAGAACTGAATTATAAAAAAGAGAATTTCATAAAATCCTTTAATATGCCATCTCAAAAATGCATCAAAATCTCTTACATAGTTTATTATTAATACAGTCAAAAGTCGTTAATTCGGACACCCATAATTCGGAATGATCTATAATCCGGACCTCAAAACTAAAAACTTTCTGCGCATGCGTCAATGCGTAATGCAATCACGCATGCGCATAGGCATTTACGCATGCGCGTAAGACCTTTTACGACTGCGCATATGAGTGTGCGCAAGTGCAGAATACGATTTTGCGTGCGCGTTTTATGTATACTGGACGTATAAGCTAAAATTATCTAATTATCTATTTCAGTTAATGTTGATAATTGCGTTGTTCCTTAATTTTCGAATTGCATCCGGCTTATTATTTTTTGCAGACTGTAAGAGCAATTTTATAAAAGTAAGCTTAAACTTTCGATTATATCAAATAGAATTTCCGATATATATTTGTTAATATGTAAAGGATCTAAAGCGAAAGTATGTTTTGAAATCCGAAATCTGTTTATCAATTTCACGCTGCTCGGCGGGGGGAACGCCGTGGTGGGCGCGTAATGAATTGGAAGTTTATTTGTCAGCACTATCCTTATCTTCAGCCCAGATGTTTTTATTTGGCTTATAATTCCTTACCTAATGTAGTATTTCATCTCGATATGCTCCGTCTTTGATATGATTTAAAACAAGTTCCTCGTCATTATAATTCGCTTCCGATAGCGAAGAAAAGTGACAGAGGTTATTGAAAACAAAAAAATTTCGATTGACAAATTAGTAGGTGTTCTTGACACAGCAATTATAGGGCTTGAACAGCGGAACTTTGTAACTGAACAAGAAATTATGTCTGTTTAATAGAATTAAAGAGAAAGTATTATCACATGAAACGAAGCAAAACTTAAACAACTTACATTGAAAGAAATGTTTAATAAAGTAAACAAATAAATATTAAGCTTTTTCTTTTTGCAAATTTTGATACCCTTTAGATCATAATTGTTCTTTATTTCATAAATTACGGTTTCATATTTTTAATTTTAGAACTTCTGCATGCCATCTTACGAGATTTAAACTGATGATCTATAATCCGGAATCGCCGAAGTCCCGACGAGTCCGGATTAACGACTTTTGACTGTATTTACATAGTTTTATTAACATAAAAAAGAGTATTACACAAAATTTTCTACTTCCACGAAGAATTGTACTTTGAAGAAGAAAAATTATATTAAAGGAAATTTAAAAGCTTAAAAACAGCAGATTTTTCATCCAGAACTTTTGGTATTGTGCCAATTGGCGATCTATCGAATTTCATTCAGTTTTATACTAGATGGCACCACCTCTTTTTCACGATATTTTGTTTGTAAAAGCAATGTTTATGCTTATTGTTTCTTTCACATGCAATTTTTCCATCGAATTTGTGAAAAGATTGTAATATACTGTCTTTGAATCTTTATCAATTTACTCTAAAAAAAAATTCACATTTATATTACAAAAGGTTGAAATAAAAAGCAAATGAAATAACTGTTATCATAAGCTTCAATAGTGCTTAATTTATCTCTTTTAAATTTATTATGTCTTTTTTTTTTTTTTTTTAAATATTCTGCTTACAACAAATTGTTTGTAAATAGGTTTTGAAACAACTACATACAGCAATACAAAATCTGGTGTTATTTTATTTCTTATCTGTTTCATTTACCATTATGTGCAAAAATCATGATACAATCTATATCCATATCATTTAGGGGCTCACATTTAGTTATATTAATATCGCGTAATGCATTGAAATATTTAAACCAGCTAATCTAATTAAAAAAATTTCACCCTTTTATTCGTGCAATGAAAGTTTCCTTGTATGCAGCATAAAACACAGCAAAAGAAATAATATTTTGCAAAAATAAAAAATTATTAGCATTAAATAATAATTAATCTGATCATGCAAATTTGAATAAAATGGTGGAAGAAAAAATGTGTAAAAACATCTTTCGTGGTGCCACCTACCAATGTGTAAATTAACTACAGAGTTGAGTAAGATAGATCGCCTATTAAGAGATTACAGATTTTTTTCTAATAAAAACAAACTACTATTTATCAATCCGTAAGTTGTTCCACATCAGAATCATCACAAGGACTGTCTGAACTGTAATAGAATACATGCTTTGGTACTTTCTGTATATTTCCATCATCTCCTTTTGTAAATAAGTAGATAGGTCGACTAAACCCTGAAAGGATATATAAATGTATTAATATAATTGCTTGTAAAAATATTTATAATTAAAGTATATTAAAAAAAGTTTTAAAACAACTGCGCCAAAAATTAAAATATTTTTTAAACTTGTTATCTACTAGGTTCCTTAAAATAAAGTAACAGATTAATATTTATGTCTTCAGACTGAAGGTTATAAATTTTGTACTGCAAATAAGAATAAAAGTCTGAATTTAAACATTCAGAAAATTGCTTAATAATTATGAGTTTGATTTTTTCATTAAAAAATAATCCAAAAATTAATTAAAATGTAATGCCATTTGATTAGTTTTGTTAAAAAATTTATATTCACTATTGTGAAACAAATAAAAGAAATTTATGCAAACTATTCAACAAAAGTAGATAAAGTTAAAAAAAAATCAAATTATTGGGGGGGACTCTATTTTGTAAAAGAAATTTATAACAGGACAGCAATCATAATAAATACTCTTATCATAAAGTAAAATCTAATGTACAACACACAATACAATCAGTTCTAAATTATACTATTTATTTTTGAAAGGCATTTATACTTCTAAAGAGAGGGAGAATACAGAGAATGTTCACACATTTTTTAGACGATATATATTGTATTCACAAAACTAAATTACATAAAATTCTTGTGTTTTAAATGTTCTATTTGACATCCCTTATCCTGAACTATCTTTCGACATTACAATTTCCAGGATAATAATTCCTTTTGAAGTGGCAGAAGTGTTATTCTATCCCATTCGTCCTGAACAGCTTTCCAGAGTCCTGTTAGGGTTTGGGGACAATGTTTGGATAATGCAGTTTTTAAAAGTCCGAAAGCACAAAAATCTATAGGTGACACATCGGGAGATTTAGTAGGGATATCAGTGAAGGGTATGGCTTTGATACCAGTTTTTTGTTCAATTTCTTTTAGGAAATTTACAGTGGATTTTGATGTGTGACTGCTAGCTTTGTCCTGATGCAGTCTCGCAGATTGATGGCACTCTGGGTAAAGCGATGGTATTTCATTCAGAAAAATTGGCGATAAAATATATTCCTGATAGTATTTGGAGTTAATCTTGACATTTTTTGGCACTCTCTTTATTTTTAATTTGCCATTATAAGAAAAACCAGCAACAATCATGAATCCCTTAGAAAAACTTTCTTTTGATTCTTTGAACCATGTACCTAAATTTTTTTCTAATAAATGGTTCTTTTTTTGTTACAATCATTTAAATACATCCATGCTTCATCTACTATGACAATTGTTTTCCATTTTTCTTTGGATAAGTGTTTCTCATATAGAATTCTGCAGCGTGTCCTGCGTTGAGCGATATGCTTTAGAAGACGATGCACATTGCATTTTTACACTTTCTTAAGATTTAAATCAACGTTTATCATTTTGTTTACAGTGGACACCGAGCATTTTAATGATTTTGCAACTGTCCTTTGACTAGGGGGATTTTCTTTTAACATTAAACAACGTTCCTTTGCAATAGTGAAAGATGTCTGTTTTTTCCTTGGATACTTGTTTGGAATTTTGTTTGACTTGAGGCTCCAATTTGACCTTTTTTCCTTTCTTGTTTATGATATTTACCTATCGATGCTTTAGATATCACAAAACCATGACTCTCACATCATTTTTGGATAATGGAATATGCATATTTCTCTTCAGGAAGAGCGTAAATGTAGCCTTCGAACCACTGCTTTGTTTAATTCGCCATTTTGAATAAAAACAAAACTTTCAAGCCACAGACGATAATTTTGACTTTTAAAAACATAGTACAATTGCAATTACTTCTTTTGCAGCAAACGATTTTTTATTACCGCTTACCAAAATCGTCTAAAAAATGTGCAAACAGCCTCTGTAGAACAGTAATATTTCTAAAGAAAAGAATGAGAAACAGGTCACTAATAGGTAAAAGGGAAAGGCTGTGGGTTGCTAAAATGTATGGGATATAAACTGTGTAAAACACTTTATGAAGAAAAGCAAAGCATCATTTGCTTTGTTTTTAGGATAGATAATTTTTTTATCTTAAATACTTGACATGAAATAATGAATGACATAATAACATGAAATTTTTATTATTTGATAAAACTGAATACATATATATATGTGTGTGTGCATGTGAGATATTGGCTTTTCCAAGTAACTGCCGGGTATCCCATAACTACTCATGAAAACTTAATACACGAGTTCGTTAAAGTGGATATGTCCAAATAGCTGCATATGCGTGTACTAGGAGAAAGCTGTGGAGTCTTCCAGTTTGTGTAAAATAAGAAAATAGTAAAATGTAATAATAAAAGTAAAAACCATAATTTCAATAATGCTTTTACCAATGATAAAATATTACTTATAAGTGTGAAAATTAGTATGGTATAAAATTGTAAGATCTATGATTATTTGTAATAATTAATGGGCATATAAATTTTTTATAATTGTGATACTGTGCGCAAAGATTTTGGGGAAGTATCAAAGTATACTATATATATATATATCAAAGATATATCAAATATATATCTATATCTATATATCAATATCTATATATATCAAAGATACTTCCCTGAAGTATCAAAATTGTAATGTGAATGTTAAGAAACAAGAAATTTTTATAGATTGGACTCAAATCTTAATAGGACTCTAAAAATGTGTAATTATTTTAAAAGAATACAGTGCTTAAAATTATTACCGAATTCAAAATTTTACAACTTGTAATTTCTTAACTGTTCAAAAGTTAATTTTATGTTTTATATTTTCAAAATTATATCTCTTATACGTTGCTGCTCTAATGCTTTTTCTCTCAAAACGGCTTCTCTATCACTCTGACTATTTCTCTTTGAAGGAGGGGGGATTTGTAAGATAAAAAAGCAAACTTCTAATTTTATCTGGCTATAACCTCTTTTAATTTTATTTAATTTAGGGATTTCCTCTCTCTGTCTTAAAGATAGCGCCATAAGTCTAAACTGCGTCATTCAAATTAATCATATGATCCTACGTAACGCTTAATGCAGATACCTCTTGCCAAATCACTAAATTGTAAACCAAAACGTTTTTACCTTGAACTGAAACTTTTGATTCCCTCCCTTCTTCTTCTTAATTGCTGCGACTGTTTTCGTTTAAGCTTTTCTCCTGGCCAGACGCTTTGCGGCTTCTTTCTTTGTGTACTGAATATGTGCTGAGCTAAATGTAGGGCGCATAAGGCGCTCGTCTGTATGTGAATCAAAATTTGCAGATCCAGAATTGCTTTCCTCAATAGTAAAATTATCTTGAATCTGACCACATCCGCCTTGCCAAGTTTCAACGCTAAACATATATTATGCCACGACGAAGTTCCAAATCATTCACATCATGCCATATATATTTATTTTAAAACTTCTCTTACTTTTGGGGAAACAGTTCCCTTTCCCCAACATAAAAAAAAAAAAAAAAAAAAAAAAAAAAAAACCCTTTATGTTTTTAATTACATTGCTTGATCATTTTCCATTTTCCTGATTTTCTAGGTGAGTGGGAACGAGCATTTTATATGAATTCGAAATACTTCTATATGAAATATTTTCAAAATAGAAAGTCATACAAATTCTAATTAAAATTACAGCATGGCCAAATTTCTTGCATGCTTTAGCAGATGCAGACATTAATAAATGCTTAGAATTTTATAATCAAAACAGAATGTGTTTTACAATAAATCAAATCATTACTCGCGATTAAGAATTAATATATGTAAAATGATACATTTTCACTTATTTCCTGATATATATATATATATAATATAGGGTTTTGAAATCACTATAAAAGTTTTTATATTAAACTTAAGAGTTTGATTTGTTTATTAGGAAATTTTACGATCATTTAATTTTTGCATACCTTATGATAATAACTAAATGCAACTTTTTCTTTTAATTGAATAATTATTGTGAATTTTAAAATTCTAAAACTTTTAATTACACTGAAAACACAGTAAAATAGATACTGTATATTTCTCACTCAGAGTTTAATTAACTGTGAATTTAAAAAAACTGCCTTCAAAACTGAGATATGTTGCATTTATTTTCACAAGGAAAAGATTTTCACCATATAGGAAAATTAAACAGTATGACTGGTTATTTTTCCAACAAACATTTATATTAAATCATTAGTACAATTATAGTGTGAAGAAAAAGTTAGAATGATTTTTTTTTGGGGGGGAACTAATTTTTAAGTAGATAATAAATTGGTTATTTTGCAATGGAAATTTTGCTGATCTTGCACCAGTACAATTGAGCACATTAAAAATTGCCAAGCTCTAGTTTTGAGTTATTCAAACTGTTTTTTCACTTGAAAGTAATACTGATTTAGAAGTAATAATATACATTCCAGGCTAACTAAGCTAGCTGCAAAGACTACAGAATAGTGGCACCAATAAACAAATCTCTTGGCTAATATTTTAGTTTAAAAAAGCATCATAGGCATATTCTTACATTAAAATAACAGAGTCAATCATTCTCCAAACAGCTTGCCTTTGCTATCCAAAGCAAAGTTTTGGTCACTAATTTTATGAAAATGTTAAAGTAAGGGGGGGGGAAGTATTATTGGAAAATGTATGATCATTTAGCAAAATAGTCTTTCCTGAGAAAAGATAAGACAGCTTCTGCTCTCGTCTAATTGTAAACACACATTTTTGGGGGGCTTTGTATGCATCTTAATAATTAACAAGATTATTAAGATCTTATATTTCCTTGTATAATATTTAATTGTGACTTTCTTCTTACATGAATGATATTATTTAATGTTTTTGAAGATAGATGTATTTTTATAAAGCTATTTTATTTACTTTTTTCTAACAGAGCAGGATCTTGTAATGAGATTGGCTTCAGTTGTTTAACTAGTTACTGTATGTGATTACTATATTTTTTTTTTCCCCATCTCACAAAGAAATTACTATAATTTTAAATATTTAGACTGCAAAGAAGCAATCATTCTTTTAATTTGAAAAAGGGCAGATGATTACATATAACATAATGTTAAAGGAAATAGAATTATGTTATCACAATTAAACACTATAGTTCACTTTTTGGAAAATTCTTTTAAACTGCAATATTCAAAGATGATGAGGTTCCTTTTGAATGATTTTTTTTATTTAACAACTTTTATCTACTTTTTATGAATAGTATTAAGTGGTTTTATAAGACAAAACGATTTTGAGCTGAAAAAAAAAATTTGTTTTCGCTAGTAATTTTTTTAAAAAAAAATTTCAACAATTAAAAATTCTGTCTTCCACAATTTTCAATCTTTTTGCCCCAATTTTTTTATTGTACTGATTAGAGTTTTTTTAATAACTTTAAGGATCGATTTTGCAATTAATGAATTAGTGTCTGAGAAAAAAATAAAAAGAACAATTTTATGTAAAAACTACAAAAAAAAAAAAAAAAAAAAAAAAAAAAAAAAAAAAAAAAAAAAAAAAAAAAAAGATTTCAATCACATTTTTACTTCCAACAATTTTTCTTTTCACTATTTTTCAAAACCCATCCCTGTGTCTATTTTAAGTATATAATTTTAAATAAGCAGTAAAAATATTAAATAATTTGGTCCATATCTGTACACGTTTTCGGACTTTAAGTAAAAAGACATATTGAAAAATTGCAAACTGAGAAAACGCAGTTTAAAGAATGTAGACTGTCTGAATGGTCATTAAATCATTTAAAATTTCTTTAAAATGTTATTACTGAATTTCAATACATATGTATATAAAATAAAACTTAGTACTGCTCAATTGATTAATATGATCATAAATTACAAGCTTTTGTTTAAAACCTTATCTGGCTAGAAATATTGCACAAAAATCATAAAATGCAAGTAGAATTTTTCTTTACCTGTTTTAGTTTTAACACGCTCAAAACAATTTTAATGCATGAATTAATTATAATACATTTTCTAAAATACTTATAATCAATATTAATAATATTAATTTGTTGTTTTATTCATTTTTTCAAAAAGTAAAATTTGAAATTTTAACAGACATAAAGCATTTTATTAAAACAATTCAGCAGCCTATGTTATTTTTCTCTTATTTTAGGCATTTGTTATCGTATATAAATTGCATTTTAAATTTATTTAGGTGTATTTTAATTAATTAAAGAGTTTAATGTTTGTTCCAGCACTATTTCAATAATGCTACAGTCGGAAATTTGAACACTGTCATTACACCACCTCTTTCTGATCATGTCTTATCACAAACAATTTAAATTTTTGAATAAACATAGCAAAGTTGACTGATAATGTGCATAAAAATATTTGCAGAGCTCAACAAACTTGCCAGTTTAAAGTTGACAAATATTTTCCCCTCGAATTTCACTTTGTATTTAAATAAATCAGTTTATACACATAAACAGAGTTTGTTGATAGTTGGAGTCACATTTAATTACATTCGTTTTCCTTTACACAGATTTTTACTTAGTCACTGAAAAAATTAAAAATAAATAAATAAATAAACGTTGAGAGAGTATGGCATTTAAAGGGCTGTCAAAATTTTTAAAAGCCTTTGTATACCATTTATTATCATCAGATTAAGGTATTTTTTCAGCAAAAAATTGCAAAACCGGTAATTTCATCGATTTTGGGGTACCAAGTCCTCAACATAAGAATTAAGCTTGTTTTCATATTTAAAAGAATAAAACAAATAATAAATATACCTACCTTGTGAAGAATGTGCTGGGGTATCTATTAATTCACAGGATTTAAATCCCACTTCATTTACAAGATATTCATTAAACATCTCAGGTTTTAATTTAATTGATTTATAGTGTTCAAATATTTCTTCCTGAAAAGAAAATACATATTAATAACAGGAAAGAAAATTTAATAGAATAATTCTAAAAAAAATAACAGCTACTGCTCTCATAGCAATTTAACAAATTAAATTACAAAATATATATTAATTGGAATTAATATGATTCTTAATTTTATATCACAAATTATTTCAAAACTTTCAGAATTATTATTTAGAACAGTGGTTCTTGACTTGCCCCCCGCTGCCAGATTGCTCCATGCATCTCTATTGCTGGATCATTGTCCTCCTTTCCAAAACTTGAAAATATGTGCATACATTTATTTAGAATTGTTTATTTACTTATGTGGTTTATAAGCTTTTTAAAAAAAAAAAAAAAAAAAAGTATAGAAAATATTGGAAAATACCAAAACTTGGATAAATATAGTTTTTTATATTCTTAAACTAAAGCTATATAAAAGGTTGACTGTGTTACCCCCATTGAGAATCCCTGCTTTAGAAGATATACTACAGATTCATTAGTTCACTTTTACAGAAATTTATTTATGCTAAATTTTATGTATCATTTCCTGATGTATCAATTCAATGGTAGAAAACTTGATAGCCATTAAAATTTTGATGGAATTTATTGTTATTCATTGTTGGTAACCTGAACTGGTGCAGCTGCATAGGTAAAAAAAAATCTAGAAGTTACGAAGGTATGAGGTGATAGAACTTAGAAACCAAGGAAATTGTACAAGGTGGCAAAAAGCTTAACATTGGCCCTGCAGTTAACACATAAAAGATAATTCCAGCTCAGTGCTAAAAAAAGGATCTTATGGAAAATGTGAGACTGGATTATCTTGAATATGGCAAAACATGAGGGCTATCTGCATAGACAAGAAGGGATTCCTTTGTGGAGGATCTTTTAAGGAAAATCAGTTCACATTCACGTTACACATTAAAAGGGGGGGGTAATGTTACCGCTTAACCTTCTTTTCCTCAAGTGTATTGCCATAATGATGCAAAAAGGCAAGAAACAGAGATTGCATCATCACATTTTATAATTTAAGTTACGAATGTACTTCTCAAGAAATAAAATATGTTCAATTGGTCTCAATGAGTGCTATTATCTCTATGGATTAGTGTTACTTCATGCTTTCAATCTGCAAATCATCATCATCATATATATTTATAAAATAACACATATACTGAGTAGTTATAATTAAACTTCCTTTATAAATGACATCCTACAGCGCAAACGAGTAAACGGAATGCAACACAATTTTGGATATGGGTTATACACAAGATGTGCTCACGGAATTTTGAAAAAAAAAAAAAAAAAAAAAAAAAAAAAAAAAAAAAAAAAAAAAAAAAAAAAAAATTTAGTTCTGAAATGTCCAACAGAGAGCACCTTTTCAGGAAAAACAGAAAATTTAACAGAATAAACAACCAAAACGGTATACAGAATACAATATTAACATTTATTGACTAGATTCTGATCACCTTGTCATCGAACCGCATTAAGTAAAGGTAAGGGAGATACAAAAACAGGTCAGTTTGCTGAAACAAGAACAGATTAGGACGAAATTTCAAAAGAGGAGCAGTTTGTTAATCAAACCCAGGACGATGTAGAGCTCATTCACCTGCAAAATTTCAAGTCGATGGACAATATGTTCAATAGCAGATCGTAATAATTCATCAGTCATGAGGCTACGCACATAAAGCGCTGTGGAATTCTTTAACCCCTTAACTGCCGCGGGCGTATATATACGCCCTGCTTAGCTGATGTGTTAACTGCCTCGGGCGTATATATATATATATATGCCCTTTCAAAATACTACCATTTGCTTTGCGCTGCTACCCGTAAAATTATTAGCAAAGCTTTGGAATGCAACACCACAATGACCTTGACAAAGTATGCGAAGGAGGATACTATTTCAGAGAAGTGTGGGGAGAAATTGGAGAGAGGGATGTGTCTAAAGCAGTGAAAGTAATGACTGCATGATATTGGCTGGTGTTGTTTGGGTAATTTTTTTTTTTTTTTTTTTTTTTAATTCTGTGTCCTCCATTTTCGTTTACTTTTTGTAGTAGGTTCCAGGAATAAAGAAAGATATAACGGATGTTTCAAACCCATTTATCTTTTTTGAATTATTTTTTAATGAACTGCTCGTACTTTATATTGTTACTGAAACTAACCGTTTTGTAGACGAGTATATGAACCAACAGCTTGCAAACGAAAAATCAAGAACAAAATCGTGGCATTCAACCAGTTCAGAAGAAATATATGTTTTTTTACGCATACTGATTTCACAAGGTATAACACTGAAACCTGATACAGTCAAAAGTCGTTAATCCGGACTCGTCAGGACTTCGGCGATTCTGGATTATAGATCATCAATTTAAATCTGGTAAGATGGCATGCAGAAATTATAAAATTAAAAATATGAAACCATAATTTATGAAATAAAGAACAATTATGATCTAAAGGGTATCAAAATTTACAAAAAAAAAAAAGCTTAATATTTATTTGTTTACTTTATTAAACATTTCTTTCAATGTAAGTTGTTTAAGTTGCTGTTTTATGTGATAATACTTTCTCTTTAATTCTATAAACAGACATAATTTCTTGTTCAGTTACAAAGTTCAACTGTTCAAGTCCTATAATTGCTGTGTCGAGAGTACCGACTAATTTGTCAATCGAAATTTTTTCGTAACCTCTGTGTCACTTTATTCACTATCGGAAGCAAATTATAATGAGGAGGAATTTGATTTAAATCATATCAAAGACGGAGTACATCAAGATGAAATACTACATTTAGTAAGGAATTATAAGCCAAAAAAAAAAAAAATAAAAACATCTGCCCTGAAGATAAGGATAGTGCTGACAGATCAACTTCCAATTCATTGCGCACCGCGGCATTAAACAAACGTTAAAGTTTAGATAAACAAAGGATATGCCTTTATCCATTTTTCATTGCGTGCTGCGGCATCCCCCCCCCCACCGAGCAGCGTGAAATTGATAAACAGATTTCGGAATGGTTAGAGAAACGAAGCTTTCACTTTGTAGATCCTTTACATATTAGTAAATATATATCGGAAATGCTATTTGACCTAATCGAAAGTTCAAGCTTACTTTCATAAAATTGCTCTAACAGTCTGCAAAAAATAATAAGCCGGATCCAATTCGAAGATTAAGGAACAATGCAATCTGCAACATTAACTGAATTAGATTATTTTCGCTTAGCTTATACCGTCCGTTATACATTAAACGCGCATGCGTCAACGTATTATGCGCATGCGCACACGCATATTTGCAGCCGTACAGGTCAACGCGACGCATGCGCAGAAAGTTTGTAGCTTTGAGGTCCGGATTATAGATCATTCTGGATTATGGGTGTCCGAATTAACAACTTTTGACTGTATTACACTTTATTGGTAAAAATAAATTGATCGAAACTCCATTTTAGGGATCTTTTTTATTATAAAAACATCATTTTTATTATACTTACATCTTTTTATTATACTTTTACTCAAAACATTAAATTTTGTGCATTCATTTTTCTCTTTTATTCTTTATTGTGTGAAGGTAAACAGTTTTTAGAAAGTAAAACTTGCACTTATTTTCCCTCTAATACATCGCATAACTACACGCACCTGTATGAAAAATCGTGGCACTGGGAAATGAATCTTGTACGTTTTCCGCGGCAGTTAAGGGGTTAAGTCATTTAACGTCTCGCATGGAGTTAGATCCGGCGAAAGTGGTGGCCATGGATTAGGAAAGGAGCAACTAATAACACTTCCTCTGTGAAGTGTTAGAGCAATAGCACCTTCATTGACCCATGGATATGTGGGGGTGCACCATCCTGCATGAAAATGGTCTATGTAAGGACCCAGCTTTGCTATAGTTGCGGCACAACAATCGTCTGTAGCATCTCATGGTACCAACGGCTTGTAACAGAACACGTAACAGGCCCATGTTTACTGATTTCCTCAAAGAAGAATGGCCCAAGGATGAATGTCGCCGTGAATCCACCCATGAACAGTGATCATTGGTGACTGTAGGAAACTTCAGTGTGGAACCACGGATTTTCCATAGTCCAAATGCGGCAATTCATTTCTACCTCAGTCGGACAGTCGACAACTGTCCCACTGAGGTAGAAATGAGCCTCGTCACTCCACATAACATTCCAAGGACATAACAGATCAACAGTCATTCTGTTGAGAAAACTGACTGCGAATGAGAGACTTTGTGGGTTGTCCCTATCAAGCAGCTCCTGAGTATGGCGGATTTTGTATGAGAAGTAGTGCATTTATTTATGAATACTTTTTGGACGATGCTGTAAGAATAGCCTGTCTGTTGAGAAACTGCACGAGTTTGCACCCAAAAACTCTGATGTCTGTGACTGTGCGTCAATAGCTGTCTTGATGGCATCAACAAGTACCAGTGTGACACATTTACGGCCTCTTCCAGGTTGAACTGCTAATTTCTCTGTCTCTTTAAATCTCTTAATCATAGTCCGGATACCTTTAGTACACATTGGTCCATGCTATAGGTTTTCTACGATGAAATTCATGAATTGCAGCAGAAGCATTACCCTTGTTTTCTTAAAACAGCTTGACCAATTACACACATTCATCTATAGAGACCGTCATTAGTACAGCTAAAACATAGACTTAAGTATTACGATGTCTGCAAATGTTTTATACCCCAACCTGTTCTGCATAAAGCTTTCTTTTCTTTCCAAACATGCAAATCTTGACATTTTTCTCTTACAACTGACAGCTTTTCCTGATTTTGCATTTTATTACTCATAATTCTCTTTCTGGATTGTTAATACTGTTTCTGTATTCCGTTTTGGTCGTTTATTGTGTTAAATTTCATGTTTTTCCTCAAAAGGCACCCATTGGTGGACATTTTGGAACTAAAACATTTTTTGAAATGCCGTGAGCTTATCTTATGTATAGCCCATATACAAAATTTCATTGCATTCCGCTCACCCATTTGCAATGTAGAATGCCGTTTATAAAGGAAGTTTAAGTATAACCACCCG